GCTCGCAGGTGTGAGGGCGGGGGGGTCGGTGTAGTTGGGAGCCGCTTGTGCTCCGAGGCAACGGCGCCAGGGCCCCTGGCCTCTCGTTGCGTTTCAGGTGTGTTAGAATCCTAGAAATCCTAGAATCGTTGAGGTTGGAAAAGACCTTTAAGGTCATAGAGTCCAACCGTTAACCTCACCCTGCCATCCCACCACTAAACCATGTCCCTAAGCACCTCGGCTGCCCGGCTTTTAAATACCTCCAGGGATGGGGATGCCACCACCTCCCTGGGCAGCCCCTTCCAATGCTCGTGGTGTTAACCGCATCCACAAGGGTACAGTTCCACACGCCACTCAAAGATGTATCTAGTTCTAGCAGCGGTTCCGATATCTCTGCCCTTCACATTTTAGCAGGGAAGCCCAAGTCTGCAATCTAGTCTAAGTCTCCTGATTAATTTCTAACACTTTCTTTTTTCTTTTTTTTTTTTTGCTTTTGCTTCGCTGTTACTGCTGTTGTCATTTGCCTGTGAACTCTAACCTAAAAATCAATCTGTGCCACATTGTGAAGCCACTAGTGTTGTGCAACGTTGATTTTTCTGAGTGAGGCTGAAGACCATTGCACCACATTCTTAGACAAACAGGAGAGCCATATTGCAAATGAAGATAAAGAGTGAAATATGTGTACAGGGCTCAAGGCAGGCTTTTAATCCCTGGTTTCCCCTAAAAAAAAAATAATTAATTAATCTTTCCCACCAGCCTTGACACTGCACTGAATGCTTGGGGCAGTATCTGTGAGTCCTCCAGAATGTTGTAGTTACACAAAACAAACTGGACAAGACGCTAGAGTTTGAAGATGTTTGCTGTTTCGATTATAAATATATTTGTGTGTTTTTCACTGACATAGGATGCCTCTCTCCTTTAGGGAAGAGCTAGGGCTTGATCCTTTTGACTTTAAAGAATAACAAAGTAATAGTGGAGCTGTCTGTATTTAACATGTCACTCAACTTTCTAATAAAGCTGACTGCACCTTAGCATGTTCCTTTCCACCGCTTGTTTCCTGACTTAGCTTGGTTAGCTTTTAATAGGAAATTATTTTTGGTAACTCCAGTCCAGCAGAGGAATTCCCTGCATTAGGACTTGGTTTCTGAGGACAGCTACAGCAAAACAGGGTCTTTTTAGGAGCCCTGAATGTAGGCTGGCCTGTTTGAGTCTATGGCCTTTGGGGGGCGGGGGGAGCCGGGAAACAAAGGAAAACCAAGCTTTCTGCAATAGGTGCAGAAACGGAAGGGTTCAAACTCTGTTTATCTGACTCTTTTTAATCACACTGGCTTTTGTTTCCTACTACTTCTTGTTAACAGAAACCTCCGACTGCACTGGAGCCCAGGCTTACTGCTTCATAAGCAGACTTAGTTTAAAGGTGATATTGACTGCTTTTATTGAAATGTAGGTGAAATGGCATCAATGTTAAATAACTCCCCAAGACTTGGATTCCTGTTAAGTGACTGTCTGCTGGAGCTAACCAAAGTCCTGGTTTATTAATCTGTGTGGGGTTGGCGTTTGTGTTTTTTTTCCTTCCTTCTGACTTTTTCCATGTGATAGAACAAGGTAACAGTATCAGGTGATTGATCTTGAATCCCGAAGAAACTTCTGCTCAGAGCTGCAGAATATGACTTGTATAATTGGCTGTGCTAGCGCCTGAGGTGAACCCTGTTAGTTCAAGTCCTGCCCGTGAGCTGTGCTCCTCATGCTCTTCCTTCTGTATCAGGATGTATGTTCTGCCTTTTTTCCTTGTGCTTTGCCTTATGTGAATGGTAACTCTGCTTAAGTAATGGGAAAGAAAACTGTACAACAGGACTGGTATTTTCTGTCCTCGCAAAAAAAAAAAAATAATCTTGGCAGTACTGTCATACCTACCACGCAAGTAACTATTCTACGTGCTAGTTTTCAAATGTGTGAAAGGGAATGGGATGTAATTAGCTCTGAAAGCGTTCTCTTGAATTCTGAGTGTTGCACTTCCTAACATCAGGGTGCCCTGTGGAGTCACCAGCCCTGAGGTAGATGAGCACGCATCTTGTCTGAGGAAAGGACGCAGATGTGATTCAGCATGGGAGCTGCCCACAGATCAGTGGGGTGACTGGGGTACTATTAACTTAGGGAAGAGATTAACAAACACGCCCTGTCCTAGTACACTTCCCTTCTGTGGAGCTTCAATGCCTTTGTCAGTGCTACTCTGTCAACTTGCCCTCCGCCCTGTTCTTGGCCCTTCTCCAGGAGGAAAGCGCTTATTAGCTCTTCAATTTGAAGCAACACCCATCTCCTGAAAACCGCACTGACCGCTCATCCTCACCAGCTTTGTTGCAGGAAGGAGAGACTTCCACCAGCCATGTGTGTATATATGCAAACTGTTGAAAGCCAGGGACCTAGTGTTTAGGCAGCACTACCAAAAAGGTATTAGCTTGAGCTAGAATAAAACTGTTGAACATTCCCCTCCTTTAAAGAAATAGAAGCTCCAATAATGCCAAGGAGGTTTTGAAGAAGGTAAACTTTAGGGTACAGAGGAAAGGCAATAGCCCAAAGCTATTGCAGAAGAGCAGTTTAGAATGAGAGCAGGAGATAAATTAATTGCTGAAACTCTATCTGGCCAGTCACAAAGATGACCGTCTAGACATCCCAAAAATATGCTTAAAGACCAGATAAGAGTTTTGGAAGAGGTAATTATTCTCCCTGGTCAGTGTTGACTTGCACCGGGACATTAGTAATTGAGTAACTTTATACCATTTCATCATTACTCTAGAAATTCCTGTATTCTCTCTCTGGCTGCAGAAAGAGGCTGGCAGTTCCCTCTTTCCCCTTCTGCGAAAATGTCTGAGGATACATTTTTCCTACATAGATCTGACCTTTTTACACCTGTGTGGGAGAACATTCCTATCCTGCCCCTGTGCAATTCAGTATTAAGGAGCAAAAGGTATACCAGGGGTAAAGTCCAGGAAAGCACTGTCTCCCTTTAAAAGACTTGTTAGAGATCAGTCCTTTCCGGTTGTCATGCAGAGGGTGATGTTTGGCAAGCTGGCTATTGAATTAACCAATGTAATTTGGAAGCAAAAAGTTGTCACTAGGTGTAGATTGGAGCAGGTCTGTACCTTGGTCTGAGAGTAGGCAGTTACTGGTGTTATGTGCTCTGTTTACCTATGGGAGCCTAAACAGTCGTCCTTAAAACATGTGATTGCCCAGGCAAATTTCAAACCTCTTTCTAAAAGTCTTCGAATTCTTCCAGCCTCTCTGGCAGTCTGCTCCAACACTATGCGTTTAAGTGCTTTAATCTTAATTGTCATTTCATTTGACTTCTTTTGATACGTTAGGGTGCAAATAAGTCTTACTTTGTGATTTTTTTCAAAGTGAGATGAAGTTTTATAGGCTGTAGATGTTATTTACAAGATAAACGCCTTGACTATTTGGAAGTCAAGCATAACTACACTGAAAAGTTCCACCTGCATTTTGATGCTAGGTGTTTTGAATATGGGTATGTTCACTCTTCCTAAAGCAGACTCATATCTTAAATAATTAGTTGAAAGTAGTCTTGTGTGTTACCTCATTGAGTGTTTATCTTGCAGGTAAAGGAATGATCTAAGTGGCTGAATGCAGTGAGAGCTGCTGCCTTTCTAATTCAGAGTTAAAACCTGTCAGCCTCACTGTAATCGTGACCTTGACATCAGCTGAGTTAGAGGTGGCCCACATCTGCTTGAAATGTTTTTAATTTTAGAAGTGTTTTCAAATGTCACTGGCAAGAGAAAGTTCAGAGGCAATGTGTCTGTCAGGCTATGTAGTATTTAGTTTTGAAAGCAAGCTCCACAAGTCTAATGTGACCTGTGAATTACTCGTATAATGTTCTTACGTCACTGGACTCAACAGTCCTCCTCCTTCTCACAGTACTTGACGTGACTATTTTTATAACTACACTGAATTTTTATTTGTCTTAGATCTTTGGTATCCATGGGAGCATCTGTGGGAGCAGTAGCAAAACAGACCCTGTTCCCTCCTCTCATGCCTGCAGGGCGACCTTTTCGTGTGTCAAATGCCTCCCGAAGCAGCCGGAAAGGAATTGTTGCAAGCAGTCTGCAAGAGCTCATCAGCAAGGTACAGCAAACATTCCCACTCCAGCTGAAACTTATAGTCAAGTACAGTATCCCAGAAAGGCAAGCCACAGACTCTTGTTCTTCTAAAAATCATTACTGGGGAAGTTCAGGAGAATTTGTCAGATAGGCAAGTCTTAATATGAAATGATGGGCCCTCTTTTGAATGCTAAAATCTACTGGGTTTTTGCAGACTTTAGATGCCTTCCTTATATCTGCTGGAATAGTTACTCTGGTTTTGGAGGAAGATGGCACAGTGGTGGACACAGAAGAGTTCTTCCGGTCCCTGGATGATAATACACACTTCATGGTTCTAGAAAAAGGACAGAAATGGACACAAGTAAGTGTTGACTGCCTCTCTCACTTGACTAGAGGTGTATGGAAGAATGTCTGTGGCTGCTAAAATTGTTGGAAAGAGGGAAGAAGATGAAGAAAACTTCCCCTAAAAAAGGCAAGGTATCAACTCCTTATTGAGCCTTCCTGGATGACAAATCAAGTTTGGTGGTTTAGGGGGGTTTTGGGGGTTTTTGGTTTTGTTTGTTTTCCCCTTGCTTGGGCATAGAACTGTTGCCAAAGATCTGCCAAAAATTGAAATGAAATGTTACAACTGAAAAGAATTATAGGGGAAATCCCCTGCTTTTGGAGATCCTCAGAAATAACTTTGTTCTTGAGCCTTTTTGTAACATAAAACTAGGACTTTGACTGCATGTAGTTAAAAATACAATGTCTTTAAAGGTTAGCTTTTTAGAGGGGAAAACATGCCCAAATTAAGTGATGTAAAACAAGTTTTGCCTTGTGAATGCAGTAACGGTTTAGTGAAGGTTAGAAAAATGCCTGTGTTTAATCTTGCAAACAGGTAAAATTCATCATCAAAACCTAATGTTAGTCTACATGCTTTAAGATATTTTAAGAACTATTAAGATTGGCTAGCTTTAGCCTTCTAGTCATATCAACTCGGTGTCCAGTTTGTGGTTTTGTGGGGGAATAGTCATCTCTACATTAGTGTAGTAGAGTGTCAAACTCTGAATTGTCTTTCCATGAAATGGTTGTTGCTAGAAAGCTAGCATCAAAATTTCTTCTACCAGGTGCAGAGCCAGCTGAGGAGCTGTAAGCAGGCCTACCATTTTTCTGCTTGTACACGGCAGCCGTGTGGCCCCATTTTCTCAGTCTCCTGTTGCAGTGTGGGCAGTTTGTACGTTTTTTCCCCAAGGAACTTCACTGGCTTATCAGCCTGCTGCATCTGGGCCATGAACTCCAAGAGCAGAAAAGAAGTTGCGGCCAGGGTGTGACTCCACCTTGCTCCTTCCTCCTCTGCCCTATGGCCTGTCTGGCATGGCGGCAGAACAAATTTGAATGCTGCCCCTCTTTCAGGATGCACTGAAAGGCAGCAGGAGGACTGCCGCAGCTTCACAGATCATCTGCAGTGTAGCACAAGTTCTGTCATGCTTTATCCAAATATTCTGGGTGCTAACATGGTGGTGAGGAATATGCTACCAAGCATACCAGCTACTTGTACATGTCCAAAACTTGTTGATAGGGAGCCCTGTTGCTGGAGCTTGGAGGCTATCGAAGTAAAACAAGCATAAAATTGCTGGCTAATGATATGCTACAGCGTTTAACTTGGTCTGACTTATCATGGCGCTGTCTGAGCGCTGGGGTGACAAGTACAAAAAGGCCCAGTCTTACACAACTTTATTGCTTCGCTTAGCGTGCAAAAAACCAGCTGGGCAGCTGCCGAGTTATTAACCTTGAGCGGAATGTGCTGAGACGAGTATCCCATGTATCCACTAGATGTCTCTGTAAATACGGATCATCTTTACTATTTTCTTTTTTTTTTTCCTTGAAGTAAGCCACCCTGAAAGCATCACTGTCAGCTCTGAAGCGTACAAGGGCTCCTTTCAATAAAGAAGGCTGGGTTCAAAGTGAAAGATGACTTTCCATGCTCCTCTTCCTTTGCTTTTTCTCTTTAAAACTCAGTCTTAAACCCTAGGCCTAATGAGTATTGGTTCCCTCCCCATGTTACCTTTTCAGTAGGAAGAGAGAGAGGTGTTATGAGCCAGGATTTGAAATGAGGACCTGACTTTTCACAGATGTCATCTTTGCAGCTATCTCTTAGAGAGCTCTTAATTTGGTGGCCTGTTCCAGCATGGACTAAATGTGAGCTGCCTCAGCTAGCAGCTGGAACATACCAGGATAATTAAATGGCAGGAACACTCTCCAGTGGCATTACCTGTGGCTTCAGTATACCCTGAAGAAGCAGCTGTATTACAGGGAAGAAATATTCAGGAGGTGCTGTGTCACTCTAGAACTTCTGTGTCTGTTTGGAATAGCTTCAGAAGCCCGGTCAGGACTTGAACAAAATTTCGTAAGCTACAGACTTGCTTTTCTCTGTGCCGATGCTTTTAATTCTAGTTTCAAATTGATTGACAACTAGCCTGAAGACTGGAATAAGCAAGCGGCTTCTAAAGAGCTGCACTGTTAAAGAGTGTCTTGCTGTATTTTCCTGGCTCATGGTACAAACTGTCTCTCCCTCTCTTTAAATTAGACAAGAAATGGAGTCGCTGCTGTGAAACAAAAGAAGAAAATGGGAGTAGCTAACATCACATTTGATCTGTACAAGCTGAACCCTAAGGATTTTATTGGCTGCTTAAACATCAAGGCAACCTTCTATGAGATCTACTCTGTCTCATATGACATCAAGTGTATGGGAGCAAAAAGTGTATTGCGGTAAGTTTGTTTCCACTACTGATCAGGTGTGTGTGTTAATAAGCAAACACAGATTTTACATTGGTTCTGTGAAGGAGGTGTGTTTTATAAACTTACTGGGTTTATTAATTCTTGCATACTGGCCAATATGCTGACTCTTCATTTGTAAGGTGGATAGTTGACCTGTAAAAGCTTACTATAGCTTTTTATGGTGGAATCTTAAATTTTCCCCAAGGCAAAAACCTTATCAGCTTGTATTTACTGCAAGGGTGTAGGTACAATCTCTGTTTTCCTGAGAGAATTTCCCCAGATTCCTTTAACTTGTTTGAAGAATGCAGGAGTCTGAGGAAGAAGCATCTGACTGAAGGGGGCACTTCAAGGGGACAAAATGAGAGAGGAATTTGAGATCTAATGGCCAAGGTCTTAAAGCTTGCTCTGACTTTGCAATATCTGGCTGCCAAATTCACCACCTGAGCTATATGGAGGCAAAGGAAAATGGAAGAGATATGACACGTATCTACTGTCTTAATGTGAATTTGTCATCTGTAGCAAGACCCTGTGATGTCACTGCTCTTAAGCTAACTAGTCTTTAAGCAAATTAACAGAGCCTAACAAGGATCACTGTCCCCTGCAGGACCAGTCTGTGGTGGGTTGTGAGTTTGATAGAACTGGCTGTTGGGAAATGCTGTCTTATACAGGGGCAAAATAATACCTGTCCTGTCCACTGCTTTCAACAGTGTTTTGAAAGTCTGTGCCTTGTTGAAACCAGCTGTGTCCTGCCCTGGTTGAAGAAAACTTCTTCTGTGTTCAGACTCCTTCACAGAGGTGCCGTACTTTGACAGCCATTTAAGCTGCAGCCCTGATTTCTCTACCTGACCTTTCAAATTCTGGTTGAGACACAGTGGTGTAGTGTTGCTGCATTTTGTGACTTGAGGACCAGATCTGTCGCTGCGTTTTGTGACTCTGTACAGAACAGACAGATGTATATGCCTATAAGTGAGGCTTTCATTTCCCCTGAGCAACATGTAATCTTCAGTTTGAAGGCTTCAAATAGCCCCTCCTCTCCGGATGCAGATATTAAGCATTGTAATGCTAATCTTGTTCCCTTTCTGTCTGACTGACCTCTCCCACTCTACTTAGGTGGTCCCTTGCTTAATCTTTCAGGCTACAGCTGGCGTGACAGTAGATGAGACTCATTTCTCTGGTCATGCTGCAGTGATTATCCAGCTATATGCTATGCCCACCTGTAACATGGGCTTCATTAGGGCTTCTTCAAAGGTTTACCCTTGAACAGCTGCATTCCTCCAGTTGCTATGTTTGTCAAGTCTCTTGAGCCAGAACAAACTCTGATTTCTGTCCGTCTGCTACGGAGAGGAGTATCCGCACTGGAACTTGCACTGTTAAGGAGAATTTGAAGTGACAGCTCTGCCTCCCTGCCAACACAAGGCAGCTGGTGAGAAAGAAATGGTACTGGCTGGCGAACAGCTGAAGTAGCTGTGGAGTTCTTCTGGAAGCACTGCTGTGTTACAGAGTTGAGCTGTAAGGGACGTGCCAGCATCAGGGTGGGAAAATAGTCTGCTGGCAAAGATCAAGGGTGACAGAAGAGGTAACCTTGAGTACTCCTGAACACAACAGTGAGATGACCTGTCTCAACTTGCTATTGAAATTGAAGGTGGGTGGATAATGTTAGGTTCTTGGTGTAGTCCCTCTGCAAATGAGTTCCAAACTGCTAACTCTGATGCCCTCTCCCCAAGCCCACCTGTGAAGTGTGAAAGGAAAGGACTTTAAAATGCTGCAGTTGTTCATCGGTAGGAGCGCCTCAAAGCCTGCCTGATCTGATTAGTGTATTTCCCTTAACAGTTTCTCCCTGTAGGGTCCAACTGAAGGATCAAATGTCTGGTTCAACAAATAACTTCCTCCATGGCTTAAGTGACAACTGCTCTCGTGTGCAAGTGACACACTGCAGCTGCTCAAAAGCTTGGTACCAGGTGCAGCTTCCCTTATAACCGTAAAGCTTCCCTTATAACAGTAAAGCTCTTTGGCCTATACTATCTGGTGGAGGGAAGGACATACTGAAGTGGCATATGTGTAGGAAGCATGAATATAAAGGTACAGCCTTTTTTTTAAAGGCTTCCCAGGCTCTAAGGACAGGGTATTCTACTCTTCTGAAGCATTGGATTTTGACTGCAAACCTTCTTTCATCACAGTGGAAAACCCAGAATTTGTGGGAAGAAGACTTTGCCTGGTTGACAGCCAGCTAAATATGAGCCAGCAGTGTGCCCAGGTGGCCAAGAAGGCCAATGGCATCCTGGCCTGTATCAGAAATAGTGTGACCAGCAGGAGTAGGGAAGTGATAGTGCCCCTGTACTCAGTGCTGGTGAGGCCGCACCTCGAATCCTGTGTTCAGTTTTGGGCCCTTCACTACAAGAAGGATGTTGCGTTGCTGGAACATGTCCAGAGGAGAGCAACCAAGCTGGTGAGGGGTCTGGAACACAAGTCATACGAGGAGCGGCTGAGGGAACTGGGGTTATTTAGTCTGGAGAAGAGGAGTCTGAGGGGGGACCTTATCGCCCTCTACAACTGCCTGAAAGGAGGCTGTAGTGAGGTGGGGGTCGGCCTCTTCTCCCTGGTAACGGGCAATAGGACGAGGGGGAATGGTTTGAAACTGCACCAGTGCAGGTTTAGGCTAGACATTAGGAAAAATTTCTTCACCGAAAGGGTTGTCAGGCTCTGAAATGGGCTGCCCAGGGAGGTGGTCGAGTCCTCCTCCCTGGAGGTATTTAAAAGAAGGATAGATGAGGTGCTTAGGGACATGGTTTAGTGGTGGGATGTCAGGGTTAGGTTAAAGGTTGGACTCTATGATCTCAAAGGTCTTTTCCAACCAAAGTGATTCTATGATTCTCTGCTAGAGCTCAAAGGAGAAGTGAATAGCAGCAGAGGTTTGCAGTTGCGTGTTTTCTCAGACAGGAATTCAGAAAATCTTCCCTCTTTTTTTGCAGAAGAGGAAGGCTGGTCTGGTTTCTGCATATTCAGAAACTGATCCCTTTCCAGTTTTGGAATGGTTCCAGTTCTTGTGTACAACTTCCCCAGTGCCTCAGCTTTGTATTTGCAGGGGCCTACTTAAATTTTGGGGGGGTGAAGCTTGAATAGAGCTCTCTGCACTGATGTCCCAGTTGTTTCTTGGACAGTGGAAGGAAGACACGGGTATAACCAAGTTAAATAAATGGCCACTCAATATATGATGATTCCTATTCCCCTGCAATCCTGTGGTGATCTACAGTCTATATTATAGACCTCTGATGCCTGCCTGATCTTAGTTGATGGATCTGTACTGAGTCCCACACAGTATTGTAGATTTGAATGCTGATCATTATTAAAACTTTAAAAAATGGAATAGTTGTGAACTGAGAATTCTTCAGGCTTGCAGTTTGGACAGTATCAATTCGCCTGGCTTCACTTGTTTTGCTGTTGGGCATCCGCTGTAATGCGATTGCTCAGCTTCAGATCTAATCAAGTTTGATCTGTAGCTTGGAGATACATGCAGTGTTGTATTAGTGAATGGCCTAAAGGTGAGAATGCAAG